AAGTTGACCTTTGGTTCTGGTGCTTTACCCAGTTTGGAACTTTTATCTGTCTGTAACCCATGGATCCACAGATTCTTTTGGAAGCTTGAATAGCCCTTCTTGAACAATGGGGTATGGAAATAGGGCTGTCTGCTATGGAAATGCTATCTGTAGACCTGAGAGTCAACTGTACAGATGTTTGCAGGGAACTCCTGCTTCTCACCCACCCCATCACACTTGACTGTGGGAGTGGACACCCATGCACCTGTGTATGTGAAAGTCATTTTACATTTCCAAGCAGTCTTGTTTCTTATTTTTATATTTTTAACTCTATTCTTGGATGTATAAAGTGAACTTTTTGGCTTCTGTAAGTATGCTCTATGCACCTCTAATGTTTTATCTTGTATTTATATGTTGTACACAGTACCGGCCAATTCTGTAAATGGATGTATTGTACAGAGAACATGACCATCTCTTCCTTATTTTACGTCTTCAGCACCCTTGATTAAAATGGTGTTGTTTACTTCTGTGCACCAATTGTCAGAGCCACTGAATGCTGTGCTGCCTGATGTGAGAAGGAAGTTACTGACTTGTGACCTATGTTTGGCCCTGTGCCTGGTCACCTGTCACCAGGGAATCGCCAGCGCCACAGACAGCTGCTCACACACCGCTGAGCAAACATGTCTTGTTCCTTGTATCTATTCTCTTCCAGCCTTGAGTGGCTGCTCCGCTGCCATGTATGACAAATCACCATCACCAGTGTTCAGTGCTTCTGGATTCATGGGTGAGTTCCTTGGGCGGCCCCCAGACAGGCCTTTTGAATCTGGCTCCAAGGTCGTCACCTGTCAAAGCAATATTGGGTATCGCTAGGCTCCTTTTGACTTACTTTTGACAGATTTCAGGGGAACAAAGCCATGCCTGCTGCCGCCTCTCTCCTAATATGTTTCCATCAAGTAGACACCGTTCGTATTTGTCTGGCCTCATCCCAGTCCCTACCATTTCTTGTATCTTTGCTTGAAAGTTGGGACTCCTTGTTTAATTTAGCTGTCTCCTGTGTGAGTGCTTCTGTATGAAGTATGAAAATTTGTGTGCCTTGAGCGAATTTCACTTTTCTCTGTAAGTTGACTCCCCCCCATTTCATATGTGGTGACTGTCTTTTGGGGGGAGGGTGTCCATCAAGTGTGAGTGAGGAGCTGGTAGTGATGGGGTACAGATTCAGTATTGGCCGAGTTCATGTTGTGTGCTCATAAGTCTCTTCTACCAAAGACCAGGAGCAGGAGCCAAGTGTGTCCAGTCTTCTTCTAAGACCTTTGCTGTCTCAGAAGTGAAACTTGACAGTGGTCTGGTCCATGGGGCTGCTCAGAAAAGCGCTGCTCTTGTATGTCTCATTGGTATTGGAAAAATAAACCTGTACAACCTGCACTTGTCTCCCTGTCCTCTGTGGCTGCCTGTTAGTATGGGGTGGTTTGGTAAAGTAAGAGCTGGACAGGTCCTCTTGATGGGATCCTTTGCACAATGAATTGGCAGCTAGCTCCGCTGGTCTTTGAACTCTTGATTTGGTGAGCATTTCCACTGGGTGTAATAGAGCCAGAAAGCTGATAGAAATGATGAGAACTTTTCAGATAGAAACTTTAAAGGGCTTACTTCCTCCTTCCAGGAACTCATTCAAACCACCTGCCTCAAATGGAGATCTCTATATGGATTCCCATGATTGGTAACCTCCTGGCAATGACTCATTCTGGCCTGGTCATAGTATGAGACGATTCAGGGTCACCGCTGCTTGACCAGCCTGAAGGATGCCTTGGTGCTCCAGGAAAAACTACTTCAGAAGTGCCTAAGTGCACGATTTTATGATTGTATTCAAACATAACTAAGCAGAATTGAGGTGATGGAAGTGAACGTAAGCATAATATCTGTGAATGGAAGAGGCATGGGCTCTTTGAGCACAAGTTTTCTAGGGCTCTTGTTGAACATTTCTACCGTGTGATGCAAGCCCCTGCTGGTGAAGATTTGTTCTCATGCCTTCATGCATGCTACCATGTCCAGTTGTCCCTCATGTCTTCAGTTTAGACTCTGCTGGGGACAGAATGGGTAGTGGTTAGAGGATGGGCTGTATCACATACCGCTCTGTGGGCTTAGACACAGCACTTTACCTGCCACTGTTTTGCCCAAATGTGGGAGCTAGTTATATCGACATGGAGTGATTGGCACACTTGCCACCTGGGAGGTACGTACTCCAAGCCAGGATTAACAGCTCCACAAACCTGAGAGTTGAAGTAGCTGCTACCATGCTTCACCATTGTCTCAGAGGGGGCTCAGGAGCCAGGCTTGCGGGCTGTGCTGAGGTGGCAGTGCCAGGCAGGCTATGAGATGGCACCCGGTGTTCAGCCTCACTCTATAGCTGTCGAGTGCGGCGCTGAGATTGGAAAACCAAGCTAATGAAAGCACACGATGTCTGTCTGGTCAGCTAACATGCCCTGGGTGAACTAGGGCTTCTGCCGTGCAGTGGCGGTGCAGGCCTTTGATTCCCACACTCAGGAGGCAGAGGCAGGCAGGTCTCTGTGTGTTCGAGGCCAGCCTGGTCTACAGAGTTCCAGGACAGCAAAGACTACACAGAGAAACCCTGCCTTGAAAAAATAAAATAGAACCTCATTTGAAAGGGGTGGAGTCTGTGTACACATTGAAAATACCAGACCCTCAAAGTGAGTTCCCATACTGGATTTCCCCATGTTAAGGGACTGTTGGGAGCTGTAGAGAAGGTGGGGCTTGTAACCTCTCTACAGCTAGTTTACACCCCAAAATGGGCAGAACTCACACTTTTTGTCTTCATTTCACATTGAAATGGATACCTGGCATACTATTGTTGGGGTGCTGTCTTGCCTCAGTAGGTGGGTGTTGGTATCCTGGGCATACTCCTGGGGAGTGCACCTGCTGCACCCTTTTTTTTAAATTTTATATATTTTTATTATGTATACAATATTCTGTCTGTATGCCTGCAGGCCAGAAGAGGGCACCAGACTTCATTACAGGTGGTTGTGAGCCACACCATGTGGTTGCTGGGAATTGAACTCAGGACCTTTGGAAGAGCAGGCAGTGCTCTAACCTCTGAGACATCTCTCCAGCCCCCACCTGCTGCACTCTTTCAGAATGCACACAAGCTCTAAAGGCAACCCGCCTCTGTGTAATAACTCCTGGATGGTAAGCCTAATTAGACTGAATTCATATAAGGGTTGGAGGGAGATAGACCTTTGCAAAGACTGAAAGATTTTCTAAGTACTGTGCTCACCCATGTGTTTTTGCTTTCGTTTCATTGTGTTTGAGGGGTGTTTTTGGCTTTTTAAGATAAGGTCTCAAATAGAGACTTTCTGTATTGCCTGGAATTCACCGTATAGACCAGGATAGCTGTCAACTAAGATCCCTCTGCCTGCCTCTGCCTCCTGAGTGCTAGGATTAAAGGCTTGTACCACCCAGTGGTATTATATTTTTCAAAGGATCTCTTTTCCCAGGGTTGGTCCTGCCTCTACTTCCCAAGTGCTAGACATGGACCACTCACCATGTTATGTGGGTACTGGTGATTAAACCCAGAGCTTTGTGCATGCTAGGCTACCCCTCTACTGAGGCATTCCAGGTAATTTAAAAGGACAACATGTGTGTTCTTCCCGAGTGGATGAAGGGAAGATTTGCCAGTATTAAGTGAACTTGTCACTGCTTAGGATGGCATTTCCCATTTGATGATGTCCTATGTCAACTGTTGACAGCAGTGAGGTCTGATGTACCACCTAAAGAAGCAAGAAAACGATCCAGTGTTTTCTGTACTCCAGCTGCTTCCCCTGGAATTCCTATGTACTGAGGAGTAGCAGCCTTACTGGGGAGGTAAGTGTTTTCTGATGGCTGAGAAGCCACGAGGCTCTGCACGATCTTGTTCTTAGGTACTGTCAAAGTCGTGGGGCTTTTGTGGTCCCTTAGTGAATCTCAACAGTAGTTTTGGCAGGATGGGAACTTTCCTTGGCATTACTGAGGATTTGCTGGCCGTTGGCACCCATGTCTGGCAAGGATGAGGTGAGGAGGCATATCTTAGGCCATGCCATACCTAACCCTATCTGCACAGCTCAGGTGTGTAGTCGGTGAGGGTTGCAGACTGCTTGCAACCCTCAACTGCTTGCTCAGCCATTAACGTGAGCATTTGGCTGCTTCACAGAATTTATGCTTTAGTAACTGGTAACGTAGCCAGGTGTGCTGGGCATACCTTTAATCATAGTCTTTGGGCAAGCCTGGTCGACATAAGAGTTCTAGGACAACTAGGGCTCTGTAGATCCTGTTTCAAAAATCAAAACAAAAACCTGCTTTTATCTGCAGTTTGATAGTAAAAATTTTGCTTTTAACTTCTGCATTCAAAATTTCCTTCAAGCTCATGATAATTAACTTGTTCCCAGCCATCTTCCTGTAACGATTCCTAAAAGCTTAACCTAAAAATGACTAATAGGGTAAAAAAAAAAAAAAAGCAAATCCTAGGGAAAGTGGCCTTTTATTTTCTTTCAAGGTAGGATTAGGGTTTTGCCTAGAATTGGATGTCAGGTTACTGAATGCTGAGGACTAGGAGTTTTCCAGGCTCTTTGGGGGTTGCTGTGAACTCAGATTCAGTCAGCTGGCCTGGCACCTGCCTAACAGGAGAGGGCACAGGCCTTGCTGTCACACAGCTGCAGCTACATCCTGAACTTAGGAAACGTGTGAGTGTGCCTCTGCTGCGTAGCCCTCTAGGGGGAACAAGGTGACTGTGAGACTTGACTGCATGGCAGGAGACCTGCCACCAGTGCTCGGCACAGTAGAGAAGTACCCTTCCCTCCCTTTCCAACAGGCTGGGTGCCAAAATGGAAACCTATTGATGATGTATGCCTGTGAGCCCACTATTAGCTAGGGAAAGGTGAACTCTATTGGTAGGAAGATGTCTCCAGACTAGATTCAGAAGGACCAAGAGAGGTTGACAGTGCTGCTGGAGGTGGGACACAGGCAAAGCTCAGCTCTGGGTTTGTTGTTCAGTGTTTATTAAGTAGATTCAGTCTGGTATATGATACACAGTTTCAAAAGGAAAAGGGTTCCACATACTTATGACATCAGTGCATTTAGCAGTAATACCATGGAGATAACCGCTCATTAACAGCTCATTGGTCTTCTGGTAAGTGAGGGAAAGAGGGCATCGGCCTGTGCTAGTCATTCCACAAACAAAACAGAATTTAGTAGCCGCATCACGTAGAAAGACACATCCTAAGAATTAAAGTATTAAGCCACATTTACTGGGAACTCTACAGAACACAAACACTTTATAGAGCATTGAGGAGGAGGTCCTCACCTGCTTAGAAGAGCCACATTAAGTTGCATAGGTGCATATCTGTAAAAATATAATTTAGCGGTGAAACCATTGATTAATAAAGTCACCTTTAAAAGTTGGTGCCATCCACTGCTTGCGGTAAGTGCCTTATGCTTACTGTCTGGAGCCCCTGACCCTCCCCAGAGGTGATGGGAACCCTGAAGAAGTGCTTGTACCATCTGCACTGAAAGTCACAGTCTCACCTGACATGGAATTTATGCTCTTCCAAAATGTATCTCAGTTATGCCAGCAGATTGATGACTTCTTGTGTTGTCCCTAAATCCTGCCTGGCTTGCTCCCGAAGACCCATGAGTCCTCTTGACCTTCTATTGCCTGCTGCCCAAAGAACTTCCCCCAAGAGCTGGGCAGCGAAGTCCTGCCTTGCTGTCTCCTGTGTGCTAGCCCATACCCAGCGGACAGAAGGTGCTATCTTGATTCCTCTCCTAAGTGAACACATGATAGAGGCACAGGGCATCCACCAGGCAGAGTGTGTTGGCAAATCTGAGTTCAAGGTGGTGTAGGGTTTTGTTTTTAGGTGGAAACGGGTACAAAGTGAGAGGTTTTGCTTTGTGGCTTTGCTAAGCAGATGAGCTAGTGAGGTGCATCTTCCTCCTCGAGCACGCGTCTTGCAGAACACACAGGGATGGGGCGTCTGTACATGTAAACAGTACACTTCCACTGAGTCCAAAATTAGGAGCAAAATACAAAGGTTCACATTGGTCTTAGGTAGATACAGGCAAGAGAGGATCGAGCTGTTGAGCTCAGAAACAACAAAACAAAGTTTCTAAAGCACCACTAAATTATATAAAAATCAGACCACGGACGGATTGAAACTGGTATTCTGGTGAAATACTTTACTATCTTGTAAAAAGTTTTACAAAAAATTACAAATTAAAAGTATCAACCCTCTGAGATCAAAGCAGCATTTTGAGAATGAACTGGTAGTTAATCCTATAACCACCTGTGGAGTCATATGTGGCCCTTGAGAATAGGGGAGGACAGATGGGTTCCATCTGTTCCAAGTCCTCTAAGACCCTCCTAGCTCTGCCTGCCCCTCCCCAACACCATCCTTGGGAATAAGCTGCCCATTTGAGTGGTGCGAGAAAAGGCCATGTACACCATCACTGCTCTTGTGTACACCATCACATCACAGGTCATCCACCACTTCTCTTGACACCTGCAGGATCTGCCCTGCAAGGACTCTGGCACTGGTGTATCCTACAGTGCATTTCCATTTCACTTGAGATCACCGATGATTACTTCATGCTAAACCTTCCACCAGCCTGGAGTGGCTGTAGGGCAGGGCTTTGGGGAGCTCCCCTGGGAAAAGGCAGGCCCAAGTCAGAAGGGGAAGACTTGAAGCTGCATCTTTTAAAACAAAAGTAAAACAGAACAAGTCCCCTGACTGAACTAGGTAATAGAATCCTGTGTCCATATTAACTTGCTCCTGATATGGCTGTCTCTGAGGCTTTGGGGACAGCTTCTCTGGGAAGAAGTCCAGATCAGTATGACAGCATCCACTGTCCTGCAGTCCCTCTGGAAGCCATCAGCACTGGCACTGGTTCTGCTTTTCTTGAAAACACGTAGAACCTATGCTTACACCATACTCTGGGAGCAGGCTGCTGGTGGCTGCTCAAGACAGTAGCTATGGTGACTGATCAAGACTGCTTGCACTTAGGAAACACCACTTAAGGTCTACAGATCATGCTCTTTCTTGAGTCCCTGCCTAGTCTCTTCTCTCGTCTTCCAGAAATGCAAACCATTTGTGTCTAGCTTGGGTACTGCCTCTGGGAGCAGAAATGACATGGTAAGTAATTGATACCAGAAATTCTAGGGCGGCGATTGTCTCTGCCAATTTTTAACATTAATATTTTCACAAATTGCCGGGGGTAACATTTTGCAAAAGATCTGATTACTTTGTAGTATTCACACACAAAAATAAATATTTACACAAATTCAAACATCCAGGAGTCTTACTGAGCAGGTGGGGAACTGGGCATATGGTCGGCCAGCTGTGGGGAGGCCCTGGGCACTGGAGCTTGTGCTGTACGAAGGGGGCTCAGGTGTCCTGGCCCAGTCCAGAGGCCTGGTGAGCGGGCACATGAAGGCAGAGGTGGTGTGGCTGGGTAGGCATTGGAGGCCATATGAAAGACCACATTTAACCCCAGGGAGGAAATGTGCAGGGTGAGGAGCCCTGCCTGGCAGCCCTGAATCTGAACAGGTAGGGAATCTGCACTGCACTGCCTGCCCACCTGTTTGGGAAGGGGCACCTGCTCTGGGATCGAGAGTGGCTTTCTGTGGTTATCCTAGTGTCCACGCAGCCCTGGCTCCCCTGAGGCCTCCTTGCTCTGAGGGAGGAAAGGCAAAAGGGCTTCTGCCAGCTCTGGGCAGGGGCAGGCAGCAGAGTGCTGCTGTCATGGCTACGGAGTGTTGAGGGAGAGGCCCCCTGGCCTGCTGAGGTCTAGGTGAATCCCTGGTTTTAGCAGCACTGGTAGGTATTGCACAGAGCAAGAGGAAGTGCCTATCAGGAAGGAAGGAAACCAGGTCAGCTTTTTCTTGTCCCTTGTCACACTCCAGGGACTTGGGTTTCTTAGAGAACAGGCCTTTCCACAAGAAAGTCTGGTCCTAGGAGAACACAAGTAGCTCCCCCACTTGCACCGATGGTCTGACCCCTTTACTCCCACCATGAGGTGAGGGTGGAAGCACAGTCCACCCTGGGGCACACAGGTGCCTGACAGAGAGCTGGCCCTGAAGAAGTGGCCCTTCTAGCAGGTTATCTGGGGCTGAGGCCTGTGCTCATCAGACCTGGGTCCTTGACCAGCTCCCGGCACTGCATCCTTCCAAGATCTCTAAGAGCCAGGCAATGGCAAGCTGCTGGTTTGTAGGGCCAAGCCCCTCCCTCGGTCTGATGCAGATAGATACATTGTGTGGGAGTTGGGGAGACAGCCATTCAGAACACGCTTGGAGCACATCCTGGAAAAGCCCACGCTGGAGTGTGAGGTAGAATACAGGTGACCGTGTGACTGGAACTCTGGAGGATGGGTGGGGGCTTTTGTTTGCAGTGGGTGCGGGTGAGGTCCTCCTGTTTGGCAGTTCCTGTCAGTGTCCCTGTGGCAGCACTGGGATCTGCAACAAGATAGCCTAGTGGAGTGTGGTAGCCTTCCCAGGGGTGCTGGGCACTCCAACAGCGAGCTGGTGCCTAACTGCTGGCCTCCAGCCCACGTCAGTGTAGTGATATGGAATGTTAGGTACAGGGGTACATCCTTCTGATCAGACAGACACAGACTGGCAATCTGTACAAACACAAAAGAATCCATTTCAGAAAAATAAATTACTAAGGGGAGAGGAAGAAAGGGTCCACGTTTGCTCTTCTCAATAAATATGCAATTCTGCTCACCTAAGACTTCAAAGGTAATTATTGGGATGGGGGTTCTAACATCAGGGTCCATGAAGATGAATTCTAAGTAGAGCTGCAGCCCCTGTGCCTTGTCAGGGGAGCCCAATCCTTCTAGAGCTGCCCCATTGGCCTCTTTCCAAGCAGGTCAGAGCACCCGTGTGGTGAAATTCCAAAAAAAAAAAAAAAAAAAAAAAAAAAAAAAAAAAATAAGGAAAAGGAAAAGGGAAAAAAAAGTGTCCTTGTGCCCAAAGTCTCAGATGCTTGGACTGTGGCTAGAAACAGCTCTTTTGGGTCCCACCTCTTTCAGAAAACAATGTACCAACTGGTGAGGCAGGAAGCTGGGTCCAAGCTGGGACAGCCTCCTTCCCTGGTGCATTCTGGGGGCCAGCGGGGTCAGTTCTGCTGTAAAATGAGATTTTCCAGTTCATCCGCAGAACGCAGCAGGAAGGCTGCAGACTCTCGGTAGCCGGCGATGAGCTGCCGCACAGCGCTGATCTCTGTGGGGCTGAGCTGAGCCGTGGGCATGGTCCTGCTGGTGCTGTTGCTGGAAGGGGTGGGTGTGGGAGGAGTGGGTGTAGAGGCCCCACCTTTCATGCTGAGGTCTGTGGGCCCTGTGGAGATGCAAAGATGGTTTTAGACTCCATAAATTTTAAAGAAAATAGAAGTCTCTGCCTGTATCTGGGAAGGGTTCCCTGTGGTTGGGCATAGCATTAGATGGAGACCCTGGTCTATTTGACGGCTGTAATCCCAGTATCTAGAACAGGGCTTTTACACAAGGATTCTAGGCTGAACCTCACTGGCAACCATATGACGGCAAAGTTCACATGGCAAATGTGTGGACAGTAAATCTGCCTTAGGAATGGGGTGGCATGCATCAGGCTTTGGCATAAGGCACAGCAGGGCTCCAACCTAGCTTCTGGCCTCTATACATGCCTTTCACTATCTTTTGAGGACTCCTGCCAGACACAATCCCAGCTCTGGTCCTCAGACAAGAAAGGCAACCTGGAGACAAAGAAGCATGCATGCCTTTAACTCCTGACTCCTGCTTCTCCCAGGTAGTGGTCAAGGTTGGAACAGCAATAATAGCCCCAGGAAGGAACTGTACTATAGGCACTGTGAGAAAGAGCTGTTGGTATGTTTGGGGGACAGCAAGGTGCATGTGCCATTTCTCAAAAAAAAAAAAAAAAAAAAAAAAAAAAAAAGGACAGTTGAGAGGGGAGGCATACAACACAGCACATGTTACAGTGAGGCCGTGAATAGCCATCATCACAGCTTAGGCAGCACCCCTCCCCTCGAGGGTTTGTAGGTGCTTATGGATGGAGGAGGGGCGAGGTCTGCTGAGCCTCAGCTCCTCTTCCTCTGAGGAGGTCTCTGTCCCAAGTGAGGAGGCTGGTGCTGCTGGAGCTGACGAAACAGAAACCACAGGACCCAAAGAGGATTTCTGGAGAAACTGTCTGTTGTCTGCCCTCTACTGGCCAACTGTGGCAGCAAAGGAGCCCAAGTTCTTCAAAGCTCTGGGGACAAGGGCACCCACCACAAGCCACCTCTTTGCCTCTCCTTAGCAGCTCCATGGGGTGGGCTGCAACATTGGAATTCAGTAGGTGTGTGCTCAAGTCTTTCTTTGCCCCCTCGCTCCTCCAAACTTCAAATTCCAAAGCAAAGCAAGGAGCCTCTGGGGAACAGGAGGTTCCATGAAGCTTGAGAAAGCAGACAGCCCAGTGGACAGGCTTTTCAGCTGGTGAGAGGACTAGCTGCAGGGCCCACCAGGACAGACTGCTCAGTAGGCCTGGGACTTTTGGAATAGACTCCCAGGAGACATGGAAGTGTTAGGAGCTTGAGAAGCCTTGTAGATATTTATCAAGAAAATAAGCAAAGAAGAGGGCTGGGGATGACAGACCAGGCACTTGACGAGCCTGTCACCCTAGGCAGCTCCTTTTCCTGCCTGTTGCCCTGAGTCCCCTGCCTGCCCTCATCCTTTATTCTCGGAGGCTGTCTTACAAGATGCTCCTCTGGGCATCAACATGTCTCTACTTCCCTGTAGGTTTTGAAGGCCAGGCTTGTTCATTGCTGAGTTTACACTGTAGAGATGGACAAAACCTTTGTCTTGGAGACTTCTAGACTAGAAGGAACGTCTGGTGATAAATTTTGGAAACAACTGTTGCTAAAAGGAAGTTGGTGCAGCCCCTGATTGGGAAAAGAAGTTGGCATCTGTGATTTGAACAGTTTGTAAAGTTATTTTTTGCCTCTAACCAGAGAATGTGGATGGTTTGCCAAAAAAAAATTTCCTTGGGGATGTGGTCAGTGGTGAAATAGCTACTCTGGGTTCAATTTCTAGCACCACAAAAATAAATAGCCAAACAGTGGTGACACACGCCTTTAATCCCAGCACTCGGGAGGAAGTGGCAGGCAGATCTCTGAGTTCAAGGCCAACCTGGTCTATAGAGTGAGTCCCAGGACAGCCAGAACTGTTACACAGAGAAACCCTGTCTCAAACAAATAAACAAATCAATAAAAATACAAATGAATAAATAACAATGCTCTTGGAACTGAGAAGACAGAACAGTTAGGTGTGTTATAATCAAACACAGGAAGAAGGAGAAGGGCTGTGTGCTGCAGAAACAGAACCAATCAGATGACTGGCTTCCATGTTGGTAGCCTCTGCTAGTTTTTCAACATCCCAAGTGCAGGACCCGAAAGGGATGCGAGAGGTTTGATTCCTTCTGGCTGTCTCTGGTCTAGGCAATGTCCAGGGTATCAAAGGGCACCACCTGCCACAGTCAGATGTGGTCCCAGGCCCCCCCCCTCCAATTCCCAAATCTCAGCTCACTGTACATGGCTGCTTAGAGAGCTCTCCCACCCCTCCCCATCCCTGTTTCCTGTAGCCTATATGACCTGGACCATCCCTATGTAGGCTCTGGTTACAGCCAGACTCTTGGGTTGCTGGTGGCCCCTACGGGATTAGTGTGGGCACAAGCTTCCTAGCACCCCAGGCCCAAGGAGCCTGGTCTGGTTCTATCTAAGCTCATTCCTACCTCCAAGAGACAACATGAGCAAAGTAGGGAGGATGAGCCACTGGCATAGCTATTGTGGGGTCCAACCTGCATCAAACAGTCATGTGAAAGGCTCTGACTGAACAGGACGGTGGGAGGGATGGCTGTGTGACACAGTAGCTACTGCTTGTTTTCCCCAACCACTGGAGCCACCTGTGCTCGCAGGTCAAGGCTGTTCCCGCCAAGGAGGAAAATGGTCAGATCTTGGTCCTATGCAGCTCTAAGGAGCCAGCATGTTCAGAGATAGGTTACATGGGGCAGACAGCTACCCCTTGATCTCAGTTCTGGCTGCTACTCATGTCTTTCAAGACCCACACCCTCTTGAGAGGCCAGGGAGCCACCACAGTTGCAGTCCCAAGACGGGCCATGCTGCGTGTACCAGGTGGAGACTTTGCATGTACTGCCTGGGCATGACTGGCCACCAGGTCATTCCTACCTCAATCCCCAATTCTAACCTCCCTGATCCTGAAACCCACTTCAGATACTCCAGCAATGGGGCTGGAAGGAGAGTGGCTCTGATCAGCCATTCTACCTGGGGTGTGCGCCACTCTGGCCTGGCTCTGGGGATTTAGGTTAAGATGCATAAGAAGGGATGAGAGGCTAAGCCCAATCAAGGACCTTCCAGACACTAGCACTTCCTTCCAGTTCTGGAGCACAGTAAGCATGAAGGTGTGGAGCAAGGGGTGGGTGGAGATGGCTTAGGCTTTCTCCCAGGGCTAGGAACTGGCTCTCCCCCTTGCTACTCAGGGACAATCCTAGACTCCTAGACCCTGAGCTCCCCTGCCAGCAAGTGCCTTTTCTTCCTCCTGCCCCCTTCAGTAGCAACATGATGTCTTCAACTTCCTTCAGTCCTTGGCCCCTGAATAATATTGATGCATACTGCCTCTGCCTCCTGCCCTGGCCCTAGAAACATTCTCATCACAGGGTTACAACAAGACGATGGAGGCCAGGTCTTCTGTGTTTAAAGCCTAGGAACTCCCAACCCCAGCAGAGCCCGACATCCCCTGACCACACTGTGCCTGTTGGTGAAGGGTTGAATGCCTGTTCCGCTCCCATATAAAACAATACCTAATGCTACAGGAGGTGTAGGAGGTATCTGTCTGTCTCTGCCATCCTCCCACTGCCAGGTGTAGCACCTGTACCACAGATTCCTGGGAAGCACTTGCCAAGCTGCCCAGTTTAGGTATGGAGCAGAGGAACCCAATGTCTAACAATCACCAAGATGACTTAAATGGGGGCTCCATGGATGGACGGGCTAAGGCTGGGTCAGATCCTGGCTCTGCGACCAACTCACAGAGAGGGGACTTTCAGGGAGTGAACCAAAGATGGGCACTTGCAGTGACTGGCAAAGGCAATGCCATTAGAGATGAGAAGGGAGTCAAGGTTTTCCTGACCTCATCTGAAGACTGGCTGCTAACAGCGAATCCGAGCCATCGCCCCTCTCCTCCCAAGGGCTACTGTGCAGACCACACTAGGCATATCTGGAGAACAGGCCTAACCCTACTTACCGTTACTGTGATTTCCTGTCTGGAGGGAAGCAGAGGGCTGCAGGTTGCTGCTCAAGGACCCATAGCCACGGTAGCTGTAGTTGAGGCCACCGTTGACGTACACAGGGTCCTGGGAGTAGGCAGAGGCTGGCAGTGAGTAGGTGGAATGGGTGACGGCGGTGGAGTCCCGAGAGTGTTGCTTATCCAGGGCTATGGGTTCATCCTGCAAAGGAGGAGGACAGTGCTGGGGAACCCGAGGCACAGCAAGCCTAGGCACTGTCCCTGACACGTGGTAGGCAGAGCACAGTCCTGTGGTTCCTGGGACCCAATGACGTGACCTGGGGATGCTGCTGGTTCTCTTTCCTTGGCATCTTACCCCAGGGATCTCCCCTGACTCCATCCTTTCTGCCCCCACGGTGCCATCAGTCTAGGACTATGTGACAGCTGCCCTCCCACCTCGCTGCACACCCAACTGCAGGTGTGTGTGCAATGGCCAATGGCCTCTGTTCCCTGGTACAGCACGAACGCGTACCTGTGAGGACTGGTAGATCTCCAGGCGCATCCTTTTAGCTGCTTTTCTCGTCTCACTCTCACAGGCAGCTGCTAGGATGTTTTCTGCCATGGCTGAGGTCAGGTGGGGAGGAGTGGGTCTGGTCTGCAGGCAGAAGGGACACAGAACTGGTGTTTAGGCTGGAACGGCCCTGGTCAGGGTCAGGGTATGGCAAAGCAGGTGTCTGGGCCTGTGTTCCTCATCTGTGAAATAGGCCTACTGAGAAGTTAGGGTAAAGGGGTCTGGAGAACAGTGCTGGTGTCAGCCAGGGTGGCCGGGAGGAGACGCTCACCATCTCCATGCCGTTCTTCTTCATGCGACGACAGGACTTGAGGTATGTGCGGATGCGCTTGCGGGCCCGCTCCTGGAACTCGGGGAACTGCCGGCTGCAGGACTCGATGATGGCCTGGATCTTCTCCTTGGGCTGCTTGGAGATGGGCACCATGCGGTCCAGGTTCTCATCCACAAACAGCCGCACAAACATCTAGGGAGACACAGGCCATGGGAGGAGCTGGCCTTGCCTGAGACTCATCCCTGTCTCACCAGCCCTGCCTGGTACTCACATTGAAGGCCTTGAGCCGCTCAGGGTCCATGCCCTCTGAGTCATTCATCTTGTCATTGTCCTCATGGTCATCATGATCATCATCGTCATCATCTGCTGTGGGGGCCCGGCCCACTGTCAGGTCCTCAGGACAGCCACTGACCTCAGTCTTGATGGAATCATAGCTTCCAGAGCTGTAGGGGGGAGACTGAAACAGGGCAAGAGACAGAGACATATCAGAAGGCTGCCTACTTGGTCTCTCATGCTAAGCTTAGGGACCAGGCTGGTGAGCTCCTCCAGCTGCCACAAGAGTCTTAGCTGCAAGCCCCTCCGCAAGTTAACCCTGCCTCCCACTATGAACCGAGAAGACCAGCTCTGCCCGCAGTGTCCCTGGGCTACGGCCAGGAGGCCTGACTGCAACAGCACACAAGGGCCTTGCCTCTTGGAGGCCATGGGTAAAGTGTGGCGGCAGTGTCCACATCAGGACCTGCCATGTTGAGGGAAGGAGACAAGAAGACAGCCTCTTCTGTGTGCCAGGATCTGTCGGGGCTCCCAGGGCTCTTCCTGGATCCCCAAGGGACTGCAGCCTTGAGTTGACAGGGGAGCTGCCATCAGAGCAGCGAATGTACTGTCTGTCGGGAGGAACAGATGGGCTGGGAAGGGGGGGGGGCATGAAGCAGGGCGCAGTCCCCAGCTCTAAGGCTGGGCTGTTTTTGCCTATCTCCCAAGAGATTACTCTAAGTCCTGGGAAAGCAGGTATTCAAGGAGGGCCTGCCTTGTGCAGCCTGACCTTGAATGGGGAAGCACTCTGCTCCCACCCACATTCTTTGACTCAGACAATAGGAAAGGTGGTCACAAAGAGGATTCCCTTCTGTGTGCTAGGACCTATTTGTGCTTCTGGGTTGAAGCCTGCACTGACTGCCTGTTCCTCCTCAGACTATGGCTTCTGCTTTCTCCTGCTTCCCAGCTTTAGCTTGCCCCTTGTGCCCCAGCTCCACAATACTCCACAGAGCCCTGGTTCGAGGCTCCTGTCATTTGCATCTGTGGCATGTCCTGACCGGCACTAGCGTGGTGGGAAGGTTGGGCTCAGGAGGACACACAGTTGTAGTCAGGCACTGTGATGGTGGCCACAGTCTGGCCTACAAGGACCTGTTGCTGAACTTAACAAAGACACACGTGGCCTGGTGCCTGGTCCTCAGGCCCTTCTCGCTTGCCATACAAAGACTTACAGAGGCAGAACTCCAGCCCTCCAGAACAGAAGTGTGGAGTCAAAACACATGCAGGGCATAGGGCTGCATTCTGGTGCCATGGACATGTCAGATCGGCAAGTGATTCTTTAGCTGAACCTCTGCCAGAGCCAGAGCAAATAAGAAAATTGTAGGAGCTCTCAGTGCCACCCTTGTGCCATATGGCCCTGGGAGCAGTGGCTAGCTCGAGGGCTCTGCCAAGCAAACCCTGCTTCCACCCTGAAACAGCTGCTCTCTCTGGTTCCTGGACCTACTTCTCTTCTCCCTTGGTCCCCATGACTGTGCTACACATGTGGTACCAAAAACTCCATTCTGTCGCTTTAGATCGTGTCCTGAGCTTGTGTCCCACCCCTCTGAAAGAGACAGGCAAGGACAGAAGAGTTTGCTGGGAGTAGGCAGGTGTTCAGGGTGGCAGGGTTGAAGAGGTGCTCCAGGAAAGCTGGCACCTGCTGTCAGGAAACCTTAATGACCCAGGACAATGTGTGGAATTATGGGCCATGGTTGGGGACCCACTCTGCCCACCTCTATACCCACATCAGCCTGGTAAAGGGAGGAGTTCTGCAGCCCTCATTCTGACAGCTTGCCCCTTTTCTGCATCATCTGAAAAGTAGGAACAACAGACTGAAGATCCAGGAAGAATGGGGTCTGTGCTGCCTTTTCAAAAGGTGTGTGTGTGTGTGTGTGTGTGTGTGTGTGTGTGTGTGTGAGAGAGAGAGAGAGAGAGAGAGAGAGAGAGAGAGAGAGCGAGCATGCGCACAGTGGGGAGGAGCACACAGCCATGGTGTGTGTGTGTGTGTGCAAGTCAAAGGACAACTGGAGTGGGTTCTCTCCTCCCATCTTTATGCAGGCTCAGAGGATCAAACTTGGGTCACCTTAATAACTGAACCTTTTCTAAGTGTTTTTTTTTTCTCCCTCGGAGGTGTCACTGTGTAGCTCAGACTGTCCTGGAACTCACTATGTAGAGCCTAGGTTGGCTTCAGACTGCAGCCCCCTCTTCCCCCCTCCCCCCGCTTTAAGCAATTCTGAGTGCTGGCGTTACAGGCATGACGCCTATGCTCAGCAATGTCTTGTACTTCTGCGCCACGTGAACCACTTGCTGCTATTCTTTACAGCAGACTGTCCCAGGAAGGGAGTAAGCCTCTGGGACAGAGGGACAGACATCACCTGCCATCTCTCCACCAAGGCAGGAGCCATCACTTCTCAGAGAAGTGAAACCTGTATGGGACACATCTGCCATTCCAGTGTGTCTCCAGGAAACCATGGCAAAATGGTCGCAGCCACTACCCTGCGCTGATGTCACACGTGGGCTGCTCAGTTTCAACTGCACTACAGTATGTATGACCTCACTCCAGCCCCCAACCACCCAGAGGTGCACAGTCTGCGGCCCCACACACCTCAGGAGTGCTCTTTACCCCGTACTTGACACGGCTCCGCAGCCCGTCAGTGCTGCAGCCATCTGAGGGGTAGGACGGTGTGCCCAGCGCTGTGCCTGGTGGGAGCTTATCACACAAGTTGATCGGCTGATCCTCAGCAGTGGCAGTGAAGTCCATGGGGGCTGCAGTACCGTTGCCATTCATCTCAGGGAAGGCAGGATCACCCTGTGTGCTGCTCGAAGTGGATGGGTTCAGGGTAGAAGAGCCATTGCCGCTGCCGCTCTCAGAGGAGGAGTCGTCTGGAATGAGAGCCCTGGCCATGAGGCCCTGTCCCTGCATCCACCGTCTCCAGAGGCCCCGCTGGGTGTGGTGGCCTTACAGTACCTGTGCTGTTAGCCAGAACCTCCGCCATCTGCACTGAGCCTCAGGCTTCCCACCTGAGCTGAGGCAAGATCAGGAAGTGGGGCCACTAGGAGCTAAGTGGCCATGTAGAGCATAGAGGTTTCTCTTCACCTCCAAACCTACAGATGCCAGAGACTAGCTCAAGGGAGGCTCTACTTCAAGCAGCTCACTGCAGGTCCTTAGACACTTCAGGGTTGCAGGACTGGCTTTTCTTGCTGCTCAGAACTGCCTCCTCTCCCACTTTCATGTCCCTCTACACAGGGGCCCTTGAATTTCTCCTTCCTCTACCCAAGAAAGGAGAGACGGCTCTAATGCCCAGCTCCCTATTTACCGGTGCCTTTCTGTACAGAGTCTAGCCAGATTTGCAGCCTATGCACAGAACACCACCCCACCTCTACCCTCTGTGCCTGGCCAAGTGGCCTCAGACAGCACAATGCCAACTGGCAAGTCTGGGGGCTGCACCTCCTGTTTCCAGGGGGTCTTCCCGCTTTCTTGAGTTGGGAGCCCCCTGCTGTGGAGAGTGCAGCATTGCAGGACCCAGAGGATGCTCCAAGGACATAGCCATTTTTAGATAAATTCCAGGTTTCTCTTCCCACAGGTCCCAACCTCCTGCTTCATTAGTTAGGACCACAGCAGCTGCTCTAGACCTCTTGGGGTCACTGTCAGGTGAGCACCCATGTGGATGCCAATGGTGCTTAGGTACCCTGGAGACTCTGCAGCTAAACCCAGCAAGGGGAAGGGTGGAATGGCAAAGGGAGCCCTGATCATATCCTGGGACCACCCTTTTCCCTAGGCCAGGGTCGCACTGGACCCCACCCCCACTGCTAGCAGATTATGAAGATTTAGTCCCTAGTGTTGAGCACTGGGCATGAGTGCCGCCTGAGCGTCCCCATGGCGACTGAGAGGCTCTAGTGCAGCAGCCAATCACTAGCCTCTCAGCTGCCTGAGGGCGGGGCCGGTCTGCCCATCAAGCAGTCAGGGCCCTGAGTAGAGGGGGATGGGGAAAGTGTGGTGCAGTGGCACCCCCTCAGCTGCTGCAGGTCATCTGGGCCAGACTACACTGCTGCATCCTCCCTTTATCCTGTGAGCTTGATCCCAGGCCCCTGAACCGATCTCTGAGACCTCACTGCCTAAGTCCTCTGCCTTCGTAAACGGGCTGGGTTTTTCTCTGACAGTATCTCTAGCAACTAGTCTAGAAGGATGCAGCGAAAAACAGATTACCTGAGAACCTACTGTGGGCTGGCCCCACCCCAAATGCAGGAGCAGTGATGACTACAGCCAGGGTGCGGGCATGCCTGAGGACCAGCTACATCTTAAGGAAGTTTACCAGTAACTGGTGGGTGTCACCTCCTCAGCAGCTGTCAGACCCCACCTCTGCACCGCTGTCTGCTGTCCTCAGCACCCTTACAGAGCTCAGGCCTCCCTTTGTCACTGTCCACGCTCCAACCTCGTGACTGGGTCTCCAGGCCTGAGTTAGGGCTTTGTGTGTCCTGGGCCGTTCAGCTGGGCCCTTTTCAATGGACTTTCATGGCCTGACTCTGCTCTCCTGCCTCAGGGTACCTGGGAAGGAGGTACTCGCCACAATCCTAGGTGCCACCCATACAACCATGGTAGAACCTGGCACCTGAGAGGCTCAAGGAGCTGAGATCTGGAGAACAAAGCTGAATACCTACCTTGATGCCTTTGTCTATTCTTAGCCACTTCCAGTTCTTACTCCTGCCCTACCTCAGGCCACTTGCTCTGGAAGGATGAGGTACCATGCCAGCGACCACTGCATTCTCCACAGGCACCAGGCTTAAGGACAGCTGCATGGGCACAGAGGTAGACTCCCTTGTCTGCCTGCTTAGAGCAAGCAACATATATGTGGTTTTGGAGCTGCCCAGGACACACACAGCAATCCTAGGGCTTTAACCTAGGGTCAAAATCAGCTATGATGAGAAGTTACCAACACTGTCACCTGGGCTACAGACCCAGACTCATGCTGCCTGACTTGCTAGGAAAAAAAAAAAAAACAAAAAAACAAGCACTAGCTTCAATGGGGGTACTCATCTTTCCGTTTTTCAGAGGGCCCTCCCCATCTGGCAAGGAAAGTGGTTGGGTAGATGTGGCCCACAAGACACCAGAGCCTGCGAACTGCTGGGGCCATGGACTGAAAACTCATACTATTATGTAAATACCCAGAGTGACCAGTATACATCATTAGCACCTTGAAAAGCCACTAGGAGTGAATAGGCAAAGTGTGACCTAGCCATAAAATAGAAGACTCAACCTTAAAACGAAGCAGATGTAGATACATGCTGAGACATGGAGGACCTACAGGACATCATGCCACGTGCAGATGTGGGAGGGTAAACAGCGAGTGAGTCCACTTAACTGCACAGGAAACAGGCTAATGCTTAGCGAACTCACAGCGTCTATCTGGCATGATGAAAAGTTTGGGAAATAAGAGTGCTGATAGTATTCTGAAGTATTGAAGTACAGAGCCCAGAGACCTTATATTTAGTTTAACACACACACCGCCGCTGCCGCCGCCACCACTACCACCACCACCAAAACCCTCCAGAAAAAAACAAAAAAACAAAACCCAAGGTTTTGAGCAAGCCAATGCGCCCCTGCCCATGCTGCACCTTGGAGAAGCTATCAATCTGAGGGGGGAACAACTACAAACGCCCACATTCTACAGTCCCACAGCACATGGGTTCCACCTGGTGGGCTCGCTCCTTTTTTCTACAGCCTGCTCCAGTGCCACCTAACAGCAGGCACATGTTTCCCAACTGGCTGGCGAGTGTTAGCATAAAACAAAGGAGCTAAGGACAGGGTGGATGTCACCTATATGACCTCAAAGAGGCCACCTCTCCTTGTACCTCAATTTCTCTTTCAAACAGCTTTTGCACCAGTAAAACAGAATTTATGTCTTTATCAACTCTCCCTGGCATGGAGCAGGGACTCAAAAACTTATTTCACCCCAAACCTTCTTACGTCATTCTCACCTGCTTCCTGCGTCCATGTCCCCAGACGGCAACAGGGGGCCCAACAGTATAGTATCAGAGGTGGGCACAAGAAGAAAGGGAGGGTAAAGGCCTGGGAGGAGTCCTCCTGCCTAGGAGACTGGGAACCAAGAGCCAGGAGAGTGTCTCCCGGCCCACACCCTACACTGCCCTTCCTTCAGAGCTCCCTTGAGCATCACCACCACGGGGAGCCTCTGAGCCTGCCTATCCCAACTCATCCTGGCACAAGCTCTGACTTCTGCAGACTTCATCCCAAGGAAGGTGGCCCTACAGATAGATACACTGTCCATCGGCCCCACCGCTGTGGCCGCAGCCCCCTTTCCCTAGTGAGCCACAGGGCCTCCTGCCATGCCTTCCACTTGCAGCTCAGCCTGCCACCCAACTGTGGCTTGTACTTCTGCTCCCTCTGCTGCTACACTGTCCCTGGCTCTCCAGAGCTTGTCCTCCGCTTCCTGTTCCTTTGTTTCCAGGGCTTTGCTTACAGGTTTGTGTGTCAGGAAGCCCTCCCCTCCCCAGCCCCCACACTGACACGCTAACCTCTTTACCTATTTTTCACCACACTCAGCCTCCTCCTTGCCGTACCATTCATTTATTGTGTCTGTAGCCTGTGGAGAGGTTGCCTCTGGGCCTTGGCAGAGCCCTAGTGCTAGGCCTGGATCACTTCTGCTTCCCTGTAAGCCACACCCCTTCTTCTGACAAGACCGGCTAGGTCTTCTAGGGTTCCTCGGGGTATAAGCACGGACCAGTCAACATGACCCATCACAGCCACTGGTAAAAGCCATATGACCAAGCTGGATCCACCAAAGTCAGACCTGAGCTTTTTCTACCCGTTAGGAGTGCCCACCCTGGGGAAGTTCAGAGATAGACTGACACAACCTTTCCAAAATCGACCTATGCCTTAAACCAAAGGCAACCCTAAACTAGTTATGAGAGTAACAGCTTCCTTATTGTCAAAACTAGCTGGAGGCCACTTTGCCTGAGTAACTTAGGGTAGGCAGGGGCCAGGCCTGGGGGCCGGACTTTCTGCTTCCCACTTACCCTAACGCTGCTAATACTGACCCAGGGATGCCACAGCCTCACCTCCTAACCCACAGGGCTCAGGGACAGGGGGTAGAGACCCAGCAGCTGGTATCTGACCCATGGCAAATTCTTCCTCACTCTCCAAGAGGCACCCAACCCCATGCCTGGATGGCATATGATGGGTTGGGCCAGTGCTGCCGGCTGGCCTCACTTCAGCCTGACCTTGGGCACAACCACCTCCTAGGCTCTTCTTATCTGCAATTCAGGGAGTTGCCGCTGACGCCCTCTTGGGCTCCAGTGTTTTATGACTCCATGAAATAACCAGCTGGCCCTGCAGCACTGAAGGCCCTAGTGTCCCGGCCCTTTTGAGGCTGTGTCCTCTCCTGGGAGGTATTCTTTAGGACCTACTCAGACCTGAAGCTGGAAGTAGAAACACAAGGGGTTCAGGTGACCCTCTCGTCCCCACCTGGTCCTCATCTTGCAGTTGTGCCAAGAGTCCCCTCTAGGACATGCACCTACCTGAATCCAGAACAACTCTGGCAGGGGACAGCTGCCCAACCTGTGACTGCGTGAACAGACTAGAGAGGTACCCTGGGAGCAGCAGGAATGTAACCCTTCTGTCCATTTCCACAAAAATGGTAAAGGGTGACTCCCTTGGCTGGGAGGACCCAGAGCCCACCACCTGTGCCTGGAGAGCCCTAGGGCAGGGGAGGCCTGCCATGCCCGTCTACTGTAACGGGGTGATGTGCTGCTATTCAAATGGGAGATCACTGATGAATGGGGGAAATTGTTCCTCCTTCTGTCCTGGCTCCAGAAGGAGACAAAAACTCCTTTTACCTCAGCAAACAATGCCCTTATGTGGGCGCCAG